AAACCAAACTCGCCCCCCACTGACTCCACAAGGGTATGTGAAATGTCCTAAATTATTTTGGACTTTGAGTTAGAAAAATAATCCATACCTCTTCTATCTCAAAATCTCGGAAGAGACCTATGGTGCATGACCTAATCCTAACTACTAATTGCCTTTCGCTGCTTTGACGTCAAATAATAACTGGACTTTGTACCTGAAAGAGAATTAAAACTAAAGGTAGCTGGGGAGAGAAATCATTTCCTCCTTGGATTACCAAGCAAGAACAGCTACAATGAAAGCCTTCACTCATCTCATTCTTCTCGCTCCCCTTTTTGTAAACTTGGGTAAGGAACATTTTAAATTTTAATTCTTCTAATCATGTTTATTGTCTTTGAGATAGCATCAGCAGGCTTACGGCCACCAATTCTCACAATCTAACACACGGACCATTTTATAAATGAAGTTTCCTCTCCAGCTCAGCTCAAAGACACAGGCATTTTAGTCCGTGATGGGGAAGGTAGAGCAGTAGCAAAAGGGGTCTATGTTCTAAGACTTTGGGCCAGATAAGAACTTAGTTAGGCTGGGCAGGGTGACTCATGCCTGTAACCCCAGCGCTTTGGAAGCCCGAGGCAGGAGGATCGCTTGAGGCCAGTCTGGGCACATAGTGAAACCCCGTCTCTACAAAAAATAAGAAATTAGCTAGGCCTGGTGGGTGTATGCCTGTCATCCTAGCTATTCGAGAGGCTGAGGCAGGAGGATCTCTTGAGCTGTGAGGGGGCAGGTTGGGGAAGACTGTCCTCGTAGTAGCAGCAGGACTCAGCAGATCTCCTCTGCCCACTCTGGGGCAGATGTCATGGCCATGCCTTCAGGATGAAGTAAGAATTGGTAAGGTTTGTATGATTTTCAGAATCTACTATCAGAAAAGACTTGACTTCCGTAAAATAGAAGAAAAGAAGGGAGCTGGAAAGGGCAAGTTTGACTGGGAGGGATGGGGAGATGGAGGGAGATCACAGAATGAGGAACCACTGAGTCTCAAGGTGCCTTATGGGAGTGGACGTTCCTTGGCCCAGAGAACCCAGGGGCAAGAAGCAAAGAGCTCATAGAGTGTGGGGAGCAAAGCATGGGCTTTGGGGGTGAGGCCACAAGGATTCAAATGGTGTGTCGCCACTTACCAGCTGTGAGTGTCTCTGACCTTCAGTTCCTCCCTGTGTACTAATAGGAAAATCCCTGTACTGAAGAGTAACCGAGAGGGTGACATGAGACAACGTGTGTGATGTGTGGGGATCCTGCCTGGCACGTAGCAGGGGCTCAATAGACGATTACCCTGGACACTTTTTTCTCATGTCTGCAGTGGTATCCAATTTTCAAACTTTCATTTTATTTTGCTCTTCTGTGTTTAAAAAAGTCATACAAGCAATGCAGACCCATTGCAACAAATTCAAACAATACAGATGTGTATGAATAAAAAGTGGGCATCTTGATCTGCCCTCCCACCCCCCTTCCCCCATCCTAGCAAGCCCCTCCTAGATATACTACTCTTAACAGTTTGGTGGCTATTAAGATTGGCGTTTGGGGAAAAAAAGTTTCTTTTTCTATGGAATGTTAAGGATTTTACAGGTGTGTGTAAGGAATTACTATTTCAAAAATGAGTTCCATCTCAGATTCTTAGCAACCAAGGGCAGGAGGTGTATCTTGTACACCTTAACATGTCCCCTCTGCCCCAGCCCCCAATGCCTTGCATAGCACCTCGAATGCAACAACTCTTGCAAAAGTAGTTACTGAAAAAAAATGAAAAAATGTGCAGGTGACATTCAAAGTTCCTTTAAGAGGCAAAACTTTCCGGATTGTGCTTTTTCTGAGAGGTTAGGGCTACTTTATTCTACATAATCTGATGGGCATCTTTGGGAACCAACGTCTTATAATATTGAAGGTCTTTAATCTGAAAGAAAGGCATTTTGCTGTGACTTTCAGCTAGCTTTGAATAGAGCAGCTACAGATGTTCCCTGGACAGGAGTGGTAGTTACAGAGTGTTCTCAGAAAGGAGCCAGGTCAGGGCATATTTTTTCCCATTTAAGCCTATGGTTTGTATCTCCGTGGACCTTGTGCTATCCTTGTATTGTTTAGAAGCTCTGGGACCTGAGGAAATAAAAAGATTAAAACTATTTTTACTAAGTGATGCCTTAATATATTTCTGTTAACTATAGATTGAACAGAATAGATTATTTTACAATTCTTCATGGGTATTTTTACTATGTAATGTAAGCCTGAGATATCAACTCTAAACTGCTGTCTTCCCTGAAATCTGTACAATGTTCAGATAAAACACACACATGCTTAGCCGGGTGTGGTGGCACATGCCTATAGTCCCAGCTACTTGGGAAGCTGAGGTGGGAGGATCACTTGAGCCCAGGAGTTTGAGGCTGCACTGAGCTATGATCGCGTCACTGCACTCCAGCCTGGGTGATAGAGTGAGACCCTGTCTTTAAAAACAAAAGCAAGCAAACAAAAAACCACACATACACACACACACATTTATATTTCAGCTTAAAAACATATTGTATCGGCCGGGTGCGGTGGCTCACGCCTGTAATCCTAGCTCTCTGGGAGGCTGAGGCGGGCGGATTGTTTGAGCTCAGGAGTTCGAGACCAGCCTGAGCAAGAGCGAGACCCCATCTCAACTAAAAATAGAAAGAAATTAATCGGACAACTAAAAATATATAGAAAAAATTAGCCGGGCATGGTGGCGCATGCCTGTAGTCCCAGCTACTTGGGAGGCTGAGGCAGGAAGATCGCTTGAGCCCAGGAGTTTGAGGTTGCTGTGAGCAAAGATGACGCCACGGCACTCTAGCCCAAGCAACACAGTGAGACTCTGTCTCAAAAAAAAAAAAAATATTGTATCTATTCACAGTGATGAATAGCTATCAGCTTGGAATGTGTCTCATTTATTAAAACTAATTGAGCATTCTGAAATGCAATCTCCCTAGCAAACAGAAATTTGAAACCAAAGTAAACAAACCAGTGAGTCCAAAACTCCTTGTCATAATCCCCAAATCCCCAAAGACCTGCGGAAAATCTCTTAAGAAGTCTTAATTAGTTTGTGCATATCTACAGAAACATGTTCATTATTTGGCATCAGCAGAGAATGAACACTTCTGAAGTATGAAATTCAGGGTCTGGTGGGGTTAGGGCTGTTTGACAAGCCCTTTTCTTCTGTCCAGAGTTTTCCATAGCTAGGGTCAGCCCCTGGCCACTCTCATTGCTGCCCCTGTGATAGAGGACACAGTGAAAGTCACTTCTATTTCCACTGCTTTCATTCAAATCCCTGCTTTTCTCTGTTTGCTCTTTCTGTGTTTGCTCCTTTGAGATTTCTTGGCTTTTTCATTAAACGGATGACCTTTTCCACAACTCCCTACCCAAGTCATAGTTAAGACACTGGCATTTCACAGAGTTGACTTTGCCTCTGGGTAAACCCCTTCATCCCTGTGAGGGTTGGAGGGCTCTTCTATCACATGCGGACGCCTGCGTCTATTCCATAGGTACTGGCAGGCGCGGGGTAAGCACTTGATAAATGAGAACAGTAGCAGGCGTGGGAGCAGTAGCAGTCAACATTGCCATCTGGTGACCTATTTTTTTGCTCCTGGAAGAGCAATTGCTGATCTCTTCAACACTTAAGAATGATTATGTTAGCCAAGCCCTGTTTTAGGTGAAGAGCCAGGCTCTGCCCTCAAGGGGCTCACAGACCCTTGGGGGAATCAGGTAACATCTTCAGTAGTTCTCCGTACCTTAGGGTTTAGGAATTGCTTTCTCACTAAAACTTTTTCTTTTAATAAATTTGTTTTTGACCGGGCGCAGTGGCTCACGCCTGTAATCCTAACACTCTGGGAGGCCAAGGTGGGAGGATTGCTTGAGCTCAGGAGTTCGAGACCAGCCTGAGCAAGAGTGAGACCCCGTCTCTACAAAAAATAGGAACATTAGCTGGGCATGGTGCTGTGCGCCCGTAGTCCCAGCTCAGGAGGCTGAGGCGGGAGAATCATTTGAGCCCAGGAGTTTGAGGTTGCTGTGAGATAAGATGATGCCACTGCACTCTAGCCAGGGCGACAGAGCAAAGCTCTGTCTCAAGAAAAATAAAAAATAAATAAATACTTTTTGTTTAACCTATTGTCAAGGTCAGAGTTCTTAGGTTCTATTAAGGGTTCTAGGAAATGGATTATTGGATCACTAAGAGTTTACTATTCCATGTGTCCAGGGGGGTCCTAAAAGTTGTGAAAATGCAATTTTGATAACGATAGCCCATAGGACAAAGACCATTTATACATCTTACTCTTTAGAAAGTACATATGTCTAGAATTGTTAATGGGTAAACACTACCAGAAAAATAATTTTGGAAGAAGGAATGAGGTATTTTTATTTCATCATTCTTTCAGCTACTCCCCCCACCCCTCAACCTTTCCCTCCCTCCACATCTCAACAGAGAAATCGCCATGTAATGGAAAATTGGGGCAGTTGCCTTAAATGTAGAAGTCCACGACTGGGTGGTGACAGCGCCACCTTGTGGCATCCAGTTGTCCTCCCTGAGGACTCTCAAGAATATCAAACCCAGAATAACAGTTCTGCAACTACAGGCATAAATGACATCACTTTTTGGTATTCAACTTAATAAATATTAAGCCTTTATTTGTCATATTTTTCAATAACATTTTTCCAGTTTTGTATGTTTAACTTTTAATTATATTTATTGTGGGTTTTTTTGTGTGTTTAGTAGTCATATATTTTCATTTTTAATGTAGTCATATATATTCATTTTTCCAGAAAAGAATGAGTTGGGTGCTAATTAGTCTCAAGTAATAGTAACTGCCATTATTTATTCAATGTGCTGCCTTCTGAAACTTGGTATTTTTGTTCCGTCAGCCACAGGCCAAAGCACAACTGTTGTCTCTCCAGCCATAGATACTGCACCTAGTTCTCCAATCAACACCATCACAGCTACTGGAACCAGTTCCACTGAAGCTACCACCACCACGATGACTTCATCTTCTTCCCCCATGACTACGGCTATTGTAACTACTCCCTCTGCCCCCTCCCCACCCAGGGCAGCCGGTCCCTCCGTAACTCCTACATCCACTCCTGCAGAAAGCGAGTCAGCCACAGTTGTCAGGACCACCGCTTCGT